CAGCCACCATTGATTTCAGGAGGATATTTAGAAACATTCCAATTCTTTCTAAGTCAATTAGATGCCTGTAAATTGGTAACTCAATAAATTTCCTGCTGGGGATTCGGGTCTTGCACCAAAACCTCCTGCTCCCTTCACCCAAATTTTCAGGTATTTGACAAAATAGTATGTAAAATGGGTGGCAGTGAGTGGCAAATAGGAAAAAAAAGCTCCCTGCCCTTCAGCCACATCAAAAATGCCCCACTGTGTAATGGGAATGACCCAAAAAATATAAAATATTCCTAATTATGGTTTTGGACCTACTTTCCCTGCAAAGAGCTTGGCCTTGCAACTCGTTAGGAAGAAAAAAAAGCAGAACAAAACAATAAATTCAGATACACCAGAGACAGAACTTCTGACCATTTAAGCACTTTGATGTGTACACAAACAAGTGGAATGCAGATGCTTGGCTTTTCCACTTGCCAGCAACTCGGAGCAGATGGGCTCGAAGGAGCATTCCAAAACTGCTGCACATAAGGACAGAGATCCCCAGAGGTGCTAATAATACTAATTTCCCTCCAGAAGATGCTGTTCTTCAGCCCCAACCACCTCTCCCGAGGCTGTTTGATCAATAACTTCACATCTGAGGAACATCCACAATGCAGGATGCAAAGCAGCTTCTGCTGCTGGCTCGTGTTTAAAATACACCACGAATAAATGCACTGGCACAACAGGACTGAGGAGATCTGTGCTGTCAAAGTAAACCATGAGATACCAGCACTTGGGTAAACAAAGTCAAAAAAAGACAAGAAAATGAAGAGGAAAAAAAAAAAGGTGTTTTGAAAAAAGGCACAAAACCACCAGATTTTTTCCATCTATTAAGAGTGCACAGGTTTGCAGGCACATTTCTCTTTATAAAGTGCTACTGATTAGAGGGAAGGGCTGAAAATTAGCACCTTGGAAATCCAGAATGGTTTGGGTTGGAAGGGACCTCAAAGCCCATCCAGTGCCACCCCCTGCCATGGGCAGGGACACCTTCCACTAGCCCAGGTTGCTCCAAACCCTGTCCAACCTGGCCTTGGACACTTCTAGGGATCCAGGGGCAACCTGTTCCAATTCATGGACTCACAGAATCATTAAGGTCAGAAAAGACCTCTGAGACCATCCAGTCTGACCTGACAATGCCATGGTCACCTCCAAACCACGTCCCCAGGTGCCACGTTTAGATGTTTTTTGGACACTTCCAGGCAGTTTGCAAGGCAGTGTCTCCCCAGTCCCTCCCCAAAACCCAGGATGGAGCTGTGGGGAAGGGAATTAAAGGATGAGCAGGTTTCACAACCAGCCAATATCCCACTGCTCTCTGGGACACTCGGGAACGTTAAGTTCCCCTAAGTACTCCTGCTGTGCTCCCATTCCAGAGGACACAAATCATGTGGTCACTTCACACATCCCGTGCAAAAGCAAGGAAATAAAAGAGCTATTTCAGATCTTGTTCAAGCCCCACCAGCACTTTCTTTGCTATTTTAATCATGTTTACTACAGCAGTGCCTAAACAGCCAACCACAGAGAGACTCTTGATTATATCAAGGCTTAGATAGTTCCTGCTTATTTCCTAAGCAGATGCTGCTCATGATTTCCCTGCTCGTATTTGATCATTTCTTCCAATAACAGCTATAACTGAGAAAAGAATTGAGAAAACATTCTGTGACAGATTTTCGTGTGCTGGATTAACTGAAAAGCATAATCTGATATTTGAGTTGAGCTGTCGAGGAGTGGTTTGACACATCACTTGCAGCTGAGTGGTTTATTTCCTGCCTGGATGGGTGAGCAAACATTTCTAAGTGGACATAACCACATATGAATGTGACCCACTGCTGGGCAAGGGCTAAATTGCATTTTGCTGCTCGTGGCACTGCTGGTTCTCACCCAAGGACGTGCTTAAAACACAGCACAGCTAAAGAGAAGCAAGTTAATTTTCCACCAACACTTCTGGCTGCACATTTTGAAAGGATCAGGGCACGTGGAAAGTGGTCAGGGAGATGCTCAGAGCTCCAGATCTTATTCCAACAAAGCTCTGCTGATGACAGTGGCAGAGAAGATGTGATTCCAACAGACAACATACCCATTCCACCCAAACAAATAAGCACATTCCTCGAAATAAATAAATTAACTTTTTTTAAAGCCCCAAACCAAAAATTAGCCTAAGATTTATGTTCCATCTCCCTCTGAGCTTTCTCCCTCGGTACATTAATCAAGCCAAAAGCAGGGCAGGGATGGTTGTTTGCATAAGCCCAGTCAAATATGTTCGAGCCGTTGCCGTTGAAAGCAAATAGAATTATTTTGCAGGAGGCTAAAACATTATAATACATGCAAAAAAAAAAAAAAACAACAACCCAACCCCAATTAGATTCCTTTATCCTGAGCATATGGCACAGAGGTACATGCTATGCACTAATGTCTTTTCAGAGCTATTTTGGGATCGTATGAGGCTGCAATCCGAGCGGAGCGGTGACAGATCCACAGGCACAACTGGGTTACATTCATCATGTATGCGGCTCCAGAGCTCCTCACAGCCAGCAACTTCACAGGAAGGATCACAAACTGCCCTCCCCAGCCCTAATAACTCCATTCCCAATGTTTTCTGGAGAAATGTTCACTGGACAGAGAGTTTCACAGTGACCAGTTTGTTGTCACTTCACTGGGATGTGGCATCAGTGATAAAAAGTGTGGTGAGACACCTCTTCATCTCTTTACAGACTTTTTCCTGCACTGCCTTTATGTATTCAGGTTTAAATATTCAACCTTTTTCGTGCATTAATGTATCTGCTTTAGTCTAAACTTAGTTGAAACTTTAATCAGGAGAGAGAACAAGTTGAACCCTCTTCCCATCAGTGCTGCTTCCAACTGCTCATATCTCACACCAGTCTGACAGTGCAGGAGTGTAAATATCTGAGCTATGGATATTCCTTCTACACAAGAGTAAACAGGTTTCTTTGGAGAAGCAGCTTCAAAGCCTGCTAAAGAACTGCAAAAATATCCAAGTTCTTCTGCAAGCAACGGCAAAATTCCCAGTGATTTCTACAGGGACAGGATTTCGTTGTGGGGGTTGGAAACAGATGATCTTTGAGGTTCCTTCCAACCCAAACCATTCTGTGACTTTATGATTTTAGTTAATGAGCTCTGAGGCTGACAAATATAGTCTGTTGGTCAATAACCTGTTGGATAGACCTAATTTAGTTATGGCAAAATTATTTTGGATGGGGAGAAGGAAGGGTCAGGCTCCCAGGGACTGGAAGTAGTAATGGGCTTGATGGTGTCTCCTTTATGATGGACATCACAAAGAACCTTGTATATTGTTCTTATTTATACTCTGCAGCACCTTTACAGAACCTTGTTCTATATTATTCCTTTTCCTGATTACCTTGGCAAAGCCAGAGCTTTTTCCTCCTCCCTTATGACCTTTTCCAGGAAGGGAAGTCCCACCCCATCAGAGGTCTCCATCTCTTTGGTGAGGGACATATTAGAAAGTAAAATAACTCTGTATTATTTCATCCTTAAATGTTTGGGTTCAAATATATTTAGACCTTACAGCACTGGAATGTCATCCAGCTTCCAAGGGCATCCACTACCTGAGTGCAGCAAGGGATGGGGAACCAAATCCCAACCTTCCCAAGGTCTGGAAGCACGGATCGTTTATGGAACAGATTCTGTTCCCTCCCAGAGCAGCAGCTGCACTCAAACACATTCCAGTGGGATTGTACAGCCCATGGACAAGGTTATGGAAGGGAGAAGGAGGAAGGGCTGCGACGGCACCACCTGCTCCTGTTGGGTTCAGGGTGAGATGGGAATGTCAGAGTGTTTAAAGGAGTAAAAACATTCACGGATAAAACTGTGTAATAGGTCATAAACCACACGAACACAGAAATCCCATTTGCCTCTATTAAATGACTTGATAATTATCCCCTCTGATATCAGGCTGACAACACTATCCCTGGGGAACAGCCACCATCAGCCACATGGCACCATGAGCCTTTTCCAGATTTGTAAGCAAATATTAAAAAATGTTAAAATGTGACTTGATAGTTTCTGTGTGAGCCCAGAGAAACAGAATTGCTCTTTTAATTTTAAACCCAACTTATCTGTTATTGATACCAGCGAGTCGCTCTCCGCTCATCCATTTGATAAAAACATCACAACTTTAATTGCAAAATAATCTTTTACAAGGCAGGGTTATTCTGAGTGCTCAGTTATCTCTCTCACTTCAGCTCCTCAGAGGGGACTTTCTGGAAGGATTTGCATGGCAGTCAAAGCATGCAAAAATTTATAAATACCAACACAGATGCCAACATGTCGGGAGAAATGTAGTTATAACATTTGAAAGCTGGGAAGAAATTAATGTTGATCCTGATTGGAACAGTCACTGTATTTGCACTGTCTAGTGATTATTTTTTTTTTAAAGAAAAACAACAACATAAATTCAGTTTGTAGAAAACACTCCACGTCCCAAACTCCATTTCTTGGCCCCAACGTGCCCGTGTTACAGGAAGAGAAGGACAGTTTATTTAAAACAGGTCCAAGATTTAAGGCTGAGCTGACACAACTAATTTTTCCGTGCAAACACTGTCAGCTCCAAGATGGGCATCAGCTCCAAATGAGAGATCCTGGAAGCTGGGCCCTGTCTGAGAGCAGGTAGCACTTATGTTGGCTCTGGTGGGATTTTAGTCCTCTCCCCAGGACTAAGTGGTGTGGCTGCCTTGGTTGTTCCAGACTTTAAACAAGACCCGGAGCACCTGAGGCTACGGAAACTCCCGGGAGGATAAACAAAAGTCTGGTTGAGTGTGCAGGTGGAAGGAAAGGGAAGTTTTCTACACAGTAATTCTCTCAAAAGATTTAAAATACTTCATATGTATTACTTAATTAATTTCCTAACAGAGCACTTAGTGGGTGGAAGAGAGATGAAGGGATGAAGGGATGAAGTTACAGGATTTACTCACAGAGCCCAAGGCAAACTTCTGTGAAGAGTTCCCTCCATGGTCCAGGGAAATCCAGCACCATGCCAAAACAAGCTTCTGCCCTAAAATAAGTGAAGACATTCCTGTTCAGCACTTTAGATGGGATATTGGGAAGGAATTCTTGGCTCAAGGTGAGGCCCTGGCACAGGTTGCCCAGAGAAACTGTGGCTGCCCCATCCCTGGAATTGTCCAAGGCCAGGTTGGATCAACCTGGGATAGTGGGAGGTGTCCCTGCCCACGGCAGGAGAGTTGGACTAAATGACTTTTAAAGGTCCCTTCCAACCTAAACCATTCAAGGATTCTACAAACTTTTATTTCAGCATTTCTAAAATCTTCCACGTGTCACGAGAGAACAGCTCACATTGTTGCTATGCTAAAAAAAATGTGTGTGTAGAGTAACAGAGTCACATATCTGGGAAAAGAAACGGGAATCTCAACCCCCAGTTCACACAAAGTGCTCCCCACTGGCAGTGGGAACATCCCCGTTAGTGCTGCAGCCCCAAAGACCCCTCACACACTGCTCTGCCAGGAACTCACCACCATATGCTGGGGAAAGTCAGCCAGATCATCCCCCCTGAACATCAAAAGCACGATAGTTTGCCTTTTTTCATTAGTTCAGTCTCATTGTCTGCAAGAAGAGCCAAGGACAGCTGAGCCAGGGCAGTGTCAGGACACATTAGGACTCATCAGGACTGCTCAGACTAAAGCCTTCAGGACTTTGTTGAGCTGAGTTGGATGGCAAAGGTGAAAACTTAGTTTGGCTTCTAATTGCTTCTTACCCATCCAGGAGAAGTCCTCTTGTTAAACAGAAATGCCAAACACAAAAATGTAGAATTTTCTTTCCTTTATCCATTTCATCTTTTCTATCAACACAGCCCCTCTACAACCTCAACCCAGCTTTCACAACACGTGCTAAGAGGTGACTCTGATTTGTTGTATTGAAATAAAAAAGCATCACAACCTCTCTGCTTTGAGTAATAATTTCATGTGAGTTTAGGTGTAAATACTTTAAAACCATCCTGATGAGCAGATTTAGGTAACACATCATTCTGCAGAGCAGGCTGACATGGTTTCTATTTTCTCTCTTGTGTCTGTGAGAACTGCTAAAAAGTTAAATTTTTTTTAAAAAAGTCATTAAATTAGAAGTCATTTAAATTAAAGTTAAATTAAAAAAAACAAACAAACAAAAAAAAAACCTCTGACTTAAATAAATAGCTTAAATAAAAAGCCATTTCTATAGTTATTCCCAGACTTCAGGTACAAGGGGCTCTGGGCAGTTTTAGTCCCTCATTCCAGAGCCAGGCCACCAAAGAGTTAGTTCAGCAACTCAGTTTGTCCAAAAAACATGAAAACCTACAGACTCTTCACTAAATCAAACAAGCAAATAAACCCTGAGGTTTCTGATAAATGAGTTCCAAGAGGCATTCATACAGATTATGACTTGCACGTTTTCATCAACACATAAATTACTGTGCTTAAATGTAAAAAGCATGTGAAGTAATGGACTCTATATCTTACTTTGAAGATGTGTCAAAACAGAAATGAACTTTGGGATGCAATAGCAAGGGTTTATATATTGATTTTGGAAGCCAGTCTGCACATACCTTTCTCCAAACATCACATATTTCACAAAGCAGCTGCTTAAAGCTATTTACGATGCATTAGAGATGGACAAATGGGGCTGGGCAACATGTGCCAAAGTTGAAACCATTTCAATGGATGAAAAAAATTCAGTTAGTTTTCACCACACACATTTCTTGCCTGTCTCTGGTGCCAGGACTAACCCAGGGCAGTGAAACACCTGCGTGTCCCTCACGTTCGATGACCAGAAGCAAGAAGAAAGACAGAGCTCAGGCTCTGTCTCCCAGTGTTTGGGTCTAGATCCATTTTTGGGTGACAGCTCTGTAAACATCTTGAGAAAACACATCTTAGGAAAAGCTCAGCCCCTCCTGGCCGCCCTGAGAAGTTTCAGTGACTTTGAAAAGGCAGCCAAACTTTCAGGATCTTGTCCATGTCACAGAAGTTCTCAACGATCCGCTGGATGAAGTCCATCCTTGTGATCACACAGTGCTTCCCTTTAAAGAGCACCATCACACCCCGAAGCCACTGAACATTTTCTTGCTGCCAGATAGTCAAAGGCACAGGCTCAAACCCTAAAAAGGAATCAGAAAAATCTCGCCACCCCCCCCTTTGCTTCAGTTTTCCAAATGGCATTTTTTTTTTTTGATAAAACTCTTTGAAGTTCAGCTTTTCCTTCAGAACTCCTCTGGTGCTCGGGGGGACGGAGGCCTGTCAGAACAGCACATCCACACATCTGACTGTCAGCTCTCGGCTCTGAGCTCAGAACAGGGTTTAACATGACCAGGAATTCCCTGCTACCCTCTACAGAAAGTTTTCATCTCCACAGTTCAAACCCATGGTGCCATATGCTCAACGACACGAATATCTTGCTCATCTTTATAATTAACTTCAATTCCCTTCCCTGCCTGGCTGTTTTTGGCTGCTCCTCTCCAGCCTGGTGGGATCTGAACTGAGCAAACCCATTTGGAAACTTCACCTTCACCAAGGTCGTTTATATGGAGGACTGAGCAGGAGAAAGGCCCACAGCACTGACCCCACTTGTTTCCCCTCTTCACTCCGAGTTTTCTCTTTCACTCACACCCCGGGTTTCATCTCCACAAGTCAGTTCATAATCCATGTCAATGGCTCTTCTCCTAAGCTATTTTTAAATCCCCAAAAGCCCCATCAGGCTGTTGTGTCCCGGGGTTTCTACTGCTGCTTTGAAACGAGGGCTGAAACAAGGCAGCTCTTCCCTTCTTATCTAGGCAGTTGTTGGTATTTTTAAAGATATTTGGGGGAGATTCATTAATTATTTATGCTTTTTTTATTTTCCCTTCCCTTTCACTCCAGTGAAGCCCCACACAAATATTTCATTTATGATTTTTACTCTTTCAAAGAATCCTAAAATGGTTTGGGTTGGAAGGGATCTCAAAGCCCATCCAGTCCCAATCCCTGCCATGGGCAGGGACACCTTCCACTAGTCCAGGTTGCTCCAACCTGGCCTTGGACACTTCTAGGGATCCAGGGGCAGCCACAACTCATCTGCGAATTCCATCCCATCCCCTAACCACCCTCACAGCCAGGAATTTCTCCCCAATATCCAGCATAGCCCTTCCCTCTTGTCTTCTTTTTCTCTCTCCCTCTGCTTTCCCTCAGGTCCTCATTCCCTGAACTTTCTCCTCTTTTCAGCAGCAAAGAAAAAAAAAAAAAAAAGGAGAAGAACAGGTGAAGTAGCAGCAAAACCAAATGTTTGGAATATTTTCCCTTTAAATACCCAAATGTAAAGGCATTCTCCCCATTCAGCAAGAACAACAGGAGGAAAAGCAATTGGCAATATTCAAGAATTGTCACAATTTCCTCATTTTTAGCCATCCCTAGAAAATAAACGGGAGCTATTCAACCGTGAGCACATTTCACTGAAGTGACACTTAACAATCCAAAAATATGGCTTTTAGTTCTGCATTTCTGTCTGAGCAGGAGATGATTTTCTGGGTGGCTGCTGCAGCAGCTGCACTGGTCCACAAAAATTCATTGTTTGAGAGGAAAAAGAGGGTTAATTGTGCCGGATTGATATTTTGGGAGTGTTTTTTTTCTGTTCTGTTAAGGCAGACTTGCACATTTAAAAATGAATTTTCACAATATCAAGATCTGAATGCCACTTTCTTTCTACATCTGAGAGTGGAGATGGATTATATTGACACAGAACTGGAATGTGTTGCCTCCCAGGGCTGGGAAATGGCTTGGGAAGTGCTGGACACTGATAATTTCTGCTGACTCTGCACTCGGAGGTTCAGATCCAAATTTAATTAATCTGCTGAACACAACCACTGGATCCAAGTTGAGCTGCTGTTCTGCCAAGGGATGAATCATTTCACCTGTTCCACATAAGGTTTCACAACATATTAAATCCTCTTTTGTTTCAGAGACTTTTGTGGGCAAAGAAGGGAAAGACAGGGAGAATCTCAAAGCAGACACAGCATTTTGCTGGCACAGGGAAAGGCGGATTTGTGGGCTGAATCATAGAATTATTTTGATTGGAAAAGACCTTTTAGATCATTTAATCCAATTATCAGAAAAACATTCATCCATTTGAACCTTTAAAATGGCCTGAACAACACGGTTATTCTCAAGGTTTTTTACAGAATAAAAAAAAAGCTTTGTCTATAAGTTTAAAAAAAGAAAAAAAAAAAAAAAAAAAAAAAACCCAAATATTTTCCTTATTTTTAAAGCTTAATTAATTGCATGTTGTAGAAACACCAATCTCAGGGCCACAAGAAGCAAGGTAGGACAGAATCTGTAGCCTGCAAGTTCCTTTTGTGCTAAAAAAAATCCCCCTTTATCTCCTGAAAACATTATCTTTTAATAGCACAAGAAATCAGCCATAAAGTCGAGTTTTAACCTTGTCCCCTTACATATGATTTTTTGTTTAGTTAGATAATATTAAATATTTGATGTCATAAAATGTGTGCTTGACCTGATAGATCTTTAAATATCTCCCTTTTCTGACCAAGAGATGTATCCCAGTGTATTGGCCACATTCAAAGACAGTCTAAACAACTTCCTGGCTTCACTGTGCAATAAAACAGCTGCCAACCCGCTTCTTTTTTGCTCTATTTCACAGCTCCAACTGCTTCAAAAGCATTAAATTTCCTCTTATATGTGGAATGTGGGATGTAAAGAGTAAAATATTCCATAATATGGAGACATCTATGGGGGGGTTTTGTCCCTTATTGTTTATATACTTTGCTAAACAGAGCAATACATTGAATTTCCAGGAGGAGATGGTAGGAATGGGCATTATTTTGGGATGAGGGTATAGTTTTATGAGATATTTAAGCAAAGATGGCTGCATGGAGATTATTTCCTGGAAATATTTCACCAGGGAAATCTGGTGGTCTGACATACACGGGAGAGTCCTTGACTCCAGCTGCAGGTGATGCAGAAAATAGTCTATGTGGAGGCTGCTGGGGACAGAAATAAAAGTCTGGGAATATGGATTTTT